GATACCGCTACAGCGAGCGAGCGAGCGAGCGAGCGAGCGAGAGAGAGAGAGAGAGAGAGAGAGAGAGAGAGAGAGATGAGCGATACAAGTTTGGTTGTCACGTACCTGTGAAGTGTTGTGCAGTCCCGTGGAGAAGAAGAGTGCGGCCATAGCCACGGAGCTTGGACACGGAGGGGACGAAGGGAGACGGAGTAGAGAAGGAGGAAGGAGGAGACATCGAGGTGGAAGACAGACATAGCCGAGGGTGAAAAAAAAAAAAAAAAAACAGCGAGAAGGAAGGAGGGTGACGAAGGGGAGAAAGAGAGTGAAGGTTGGTGAGAGAGAAGGAGCCGGCAGCCATAGCTGACCGGAGGGTTGACCAAGCGTTGACCAGAGGGTTGACCGGGGTGTTGACCGAGGGTTGTCCGCGTTGACCAAGGCGTTGACCTGAGCTGTTGACCAAGACTTGGACAAAGTTGGAGTTGGTAACATCTCCCCAAGCCTTTAGCCTATCCCCTCGCCCTATGGATGTGCACTCACCCTGCGGTACTTGCTGAGTCTGAGTCTGTCTGTCTCTTCTTTCTGCATTGAGTCTCTTCTGTCCTAAGTGATAGTACTTTGTGGATGAAGGATAGGGCCTGGATGACGAAACCCCTACCTGATCTTGTAGAGCTAATACTGTGTCTAATCTCACTGTCCCGGAGGCCTAACCCTCCCAAGGACCGGTGCTGACCGGCGGGACTCGGATTGGGCATGACACGGTGGGCTTGAACGGCAGAGTTGTGGGCTGACACACCATGCAGTCTTAAGTGTTGAGGGCCTTGTTGACCCGAACCCCTACCGGACCTAATAAGGCTAAAGACTGTGTCTGACGACTCGACTGTCCCGGAGGACACGAACCCTCCTAAGGACCAGTACAGACCGGCGGGCTGCTCGGTGTGGCACGGTAGGCCCGAAAGGCTGAGTTGTGGGTTGTGCAACAGGCAGAACCAAGCTGATCACGTCGTCCTGACTGCGACGTTAAAGAATTCCTGAGGAGTTACGGGGGATCTCCTTAAATGTCTCCTGATCAGCCACTGGTTCAGTAGTGACAGCCATAGTGTAGGTTTAGGCTAGCGACCATAGCTGACAGGGTTCTATACGAATCCTGTGGTCCTTAGAGAGTCTGTCAGTGAGTTTTGCGGGTAGGTCTACATGGTGAGGAGTGGGACTGTCCTGTCGTGCACCTATCATCATGGATGAGTACCCGATGTACGGGTTGCTCGTGGGGTTCTCCCTTTGGGGGACCATTTGCCGTTTCATTTTCCCATTGGGATTCTGAAACACGTTTTCGTGTAGGGTAGAGACACGTACGGGGAAGGGTACCTCGCCCTACACGGCCGAGAAGGAAGCAAAGGCCGCCGCGATCCTGAAAGAGAGGAGAGAAAAGAAGGAGGCCAAGAAGAAGGCCTTACTTGAGGCGCAGGCGGCGAAGTTGAAGAAGATTGAGGAGGAGATGGCTAGAGAGAAGGAGAGGCTGAAGAAAGAAGAAGAAGCAAAGTTAAAGGAAGTGGAAGAGGAAGAAGAAGAAGACGTAGAAGAGGAGCCACTTGAGAGAGGAAGAAGAGGAAACAAAGGGGAGTCCAGTGAGACAAAGGAAGACTTGATGGAGAAGAAGATTTCGGAATGGGTTGCAGGACTGACCCTGGAGAGGATGAGGAGGCGTTAATATATGTGCCCAGGGACGAGCAGGAGGCGGTCGTGCGAGAGTGGGAAGCTGAAGGAGACCCACTCAAGCGGCAAGTGCTAGAAGATGAGAAGAGGATGGAGTGGAAGTTCCGCCTCAGTAGGGAGAGGAAGAGAAGAATGGAGGCGGCAACAGAGGCGGCGAAAGAGTTGGAAGAGATCCGGAAGCAGAAGGATCAGATGGCGGTCCAAGTAGATTTATTGGAGAAGGTAGAGATCCTGGCCAAGAACGTGGAACGCCTGGCAAAGGTCCAGGAGGAGCAACTTTTATTTGGGAGAGGCTAGGACATTGTCGTGCGTTCGATACGGTCAGGACTTAGGGACTTTGCTCGGAGTTGGCAATGCAGGTGGGCTCGCATGTAACAGCCCGCCTCGAGGGCACTGAACGATACTGTGTTGGTGCCATTGAGGGCGCCAAGCTAACTATCCCGAAGGAAGAAGAAGCACGACCCCGTAGAGAACCGGTCAAGGTTAAGTTTCCTGATTCCTACAACGGAAAGAAGGAAGAAAACTTTGACAATTGGGAGGCCAACGTTAAAACGTACGTGCACCTGCAGAAAGTGTCCCCCGATGAGCAGGTCCTGATAGCCATCCATGCATTGAAGGAAGAAGCCGCCAGTTTTGCACACTCCTTAGTCCGTGCTGCTAACTGCAGCGATGATGTGGTTGCCTACTCTGCTTTCACCCCTCTCGCTGACTTCCTTAAGTTGTTGCGCGAACGATTTGCAGATGTCTTGCGCAGTGTCACAGCCTCTGATCGATTGCAGACTATCCACTCTCGTCAGTGGAGGAGCGCCAAGGCACTCAAGGGAGTAATGGACGAGTTAGTGGCTGTTCCTGACCATGGGGTCACAGAGACCCAACTGGTCAACCTCTTTTACCGGGCTATGCCCAAGTCGTTCTGTGGGCACTTCTTTGAGAAGAGCCAGCAACCCACCATAACCTACGACGCATTGAGCAGGGAAGTGGTGGCCTTTGAGGCGAGGTCTATGTCAGTTTTCACTTTCTGGCATAAGGACCTGGATAAGGGAAAGAAGTGGAAAGGTCGCACTATCTCAGGGCAGGTGAAGACAAAGGATAGCCTGGTCCTTACTTTAGATGAGGGTAGTGTCGATGAGATCCCCTACGATTAGATAGAGTGGGGGCTAGAGGACAGCGGCGTGAGCCAAGGGAGAACTACGCTACTGTCGCGGCTGGAGGGAGGCCGCAAGGAGGAGGACGAGGCCAGGGCCAAGGGGGTCGGGCCTCAGGGTCCAGTGTTCTAGCGCTTGCCTGAGAGCGTAGAGTTCCCTCTCATAGGTAGATGTCGCAACCTTCTCTGAAGGTATCCTAGCAGACATGAACTCTACGGGCCTATAACCATTGCCATCGTCTTGATGCAGAACAACACCTATGCCGTACTGACTGGCGTCCGTAGTGACGACAAAGGGTAAGGACGGATCGGCCACCTTAAGGACTGGATACTCTATCAGTGCCTGCTTCAACTTCTTCATGGCAGACGTGCAGTCCTTATCCCACTTCCAGATGGTTTTTTTCCTTAGCAACCTGCGAAAGGGCGCAGCGATAGTAGAGAAGTTCCTTACGAACTTCCTATAATAGTTCGCTAGGCCTAAGAATGACCGCAACTCTGTCAACGTACGCGGTGTAGGCCAATCCCTGATCGATGCAATCTTACTATCCTCTGGCTTGATGCCGTTTCCGTCTAAGACGTGGCCCAAATACAAAACTTGGGTCTTTGCCCATTCGCACTTCTTTGCGTTGATCTTGAAGTTAGCTTCTCTTAGCTTCTCCAAGACCTGCCTGAGATGACCCTGATGCTCTTGGAGGGTCTTACTAAACACTAGGATATCATCCAAATAAACTGCAACAAACCTATCTAACCAAGGCCTAAACAGGTCATTCATGCATCGCTGAAAAGTCGCTGGCGCGTTGGTTAGTCCAAAGGGCATCACGATGAACTCGTAGTGCCCATATCTAGTCCGGAACACTGTCTTGTACTGATCATCAGGATGAACCTCTATCTGATGATATCCGGACTTCAAATCTATCTTCGAAAAATATCTGCACCCCTGCACCCGATCCAAAAGATCGTCTATCCTGGGCAGTGGCTCAACATTCTTAACTGTGATAGTGTTCAGACCCCTATACTCTATACACAATCTAAGCTCTCCCTCCTTCTTGGGGACAAACAGAACAGGTGCTCCAAATGGAGACGAACTGGGCCTATTCCAACCCTTCTCTAGGAGCTCATCTAACTGTTTGCGCAGCTCCTCCAACTCCCGCGGGGACATCCTATACACTGCTCCCTTGGGGGTCCTACTGCCAGGCTCGATCTCAATACGATGCTGGATCGGCCGCGGTACTACTCCTATCGGCGGCTTCGCTAAGTCTGTGAATTCTTCCAGCAGCTTGGCAATAGGAGGGTCTATAGGCTTCTCTTCCTTAGGCTCAGTAGCTGGCCTAACATAGGCTACAAAAACCTGTTCCTCTAGCTGCTCCTTTTTCACTAGCCTTGCGAACACAGGAGCGCTAAGGCAGCAGTGTGCTAGGGAGTTGTCTACTCCGGACACATGAAACAGACGGGCAGTCTTGACACCGCCTGATGGACTAGGGAGCCTACACTCGTGCTCCCTCAAATGGAGTGTGGCCCCTGCTGCCTCTCCCCAGTCCATACCTAGGACTATGTCAAACGGGAGGCTGTCCTCTACGAGGAGAGTCAGGGAATGGAGAACTTTCTCCACCTTCCCATCCTTTTCTAGGCGGAAATACGCCTGGACTCCCTCTACGTACTCCTCTACTCGCATGGTGCGATTGTCCGCGAGGATGCTTACTATGGGGTCTGCTAGTCTTTGGACTTTTAACTGCAACTTCAGCTTCTGCAGCGCCTTCCTACTGATATAACTACGAGTGGCTCCACTATCCACTAAGGCGCCAGGTCGACCTCTAAAAATCTTTGTATCTACTAATATGAGTTGCCCCCTATTCTCTTTCCTCATCTTGGCCCAGGTGGACATTCTCTCCTTCAATTCCTCTGCCACGCCTGTGAGGGAAGTGCCTAGAGAGACTCTAACACATGCAGTCTCTGGGCAGCTATCTAGGCATCGGCCTGCAACTTCTGCCATGGGCTCATGTGGTTTGGGAGATTCGTGCCGCTTGCTAACTCATCTCCACATGGCCCTATGGTAGAGGCAGTTGCTACCCCTCCCGACGGCTGCCTTTTGCTTCCTGTGCAGCCGAACGAGCCTCTCTATACTTCGGACAGTATTTAATGATGTGGTCAGGGTCACCGCAGTAGATGCACTGCCCCTGGTTCACACGCTTTTGCCATAAGCGCTGGTCCAGGCCCAGATCTTCCCAAGGCCTGCCTTGTGGCAGCCCTCGGTGCCATCCACTTCTCCTTAAGGGGACCTATTCCCAGACCGGTTTTGCGGGGGACCTTGACCCCTTCCTCCCGTTTGGCGGTTTCCTCCTCTGCCGCCAACCCCCTGATCGCCCTGAGAACGGCACTACTTGCTTGGGAGGCACTTTAAAGTTTATTCCGACCACGAGACGTTAAGATGGTTAAAGACGCAGGCCAAGATGACACCTAAGCTTACTAGGTGGGCCGCAGAAATAGACCAGTATGATTTTGAGCTCAAACCAATCAAAGGGAAATATAATGTAGTTGCGGACGCTCTAAGTAGGAGAGCTGACTACTTTGGAGCGATAGTTCACTATCTGGACATAGGGAGAGACCTGCAGGAAAGGGTTAAAGAGGCGTATGCGCAGGACCCTATCTATAGTGACCTCCTCAAGAGAGTAAAGGAGGCCCCAGAGACCGAACCAGATTACCGCACTACTGACGGACTGTTATTTGAGAAGACTAATGTAGTTGACCGTCTGTGCATTCCCAAGTGAGGAGATCCGTAGTCTGATCTTAGGAGAATGTCACGACACAGAGGGTCATTTTGGTTGGCAAAAGACTCTAATGCACCCGTACACCTAGCCAGGAATGAAGAATGACTGCATAGAGTATGTCCGCAGTTGTAAAGTTTGCCCGCGGAATAAGACTACTACGCGTGCTCCGCTAGGTCTTCTCATACCCTTGCCTATTCCTGATCAGCCAGGAGATTCGGTGTCCATCGACTTCATGGACACTGGCGTCAAGAGTAGGCATGGCAAGACCCAAGTCATGGTGATAGTCGATAGGTTTAGCAAGTATGCTGTTTTTATACCTTTGCCTTCAGAGGCAAGGACTGAGTTAGTGATCTGTAAGTTCTTTGATCATTGGGTCAGTGAGCACGGGGTCCCATTGTCCATAGTTAGTGTTAGAGACACCCGGTTCACAAGTCAGAACTGGCAGGAGTTGATGAGAGTCTATGGCTCTAAGTTGCTAATGTCGTCTGGCCGTCATCCAGAGACCAACGGTCAGACTGAACAAATGAATAAGATCCTGCAGCAAGTTCTGAGAATGTACATTAGACCAGATCAAGTTAACTGGGACGAGATGTTCCCCAAGGTAGCCAGTGCCTACAACAATAGTGTGCATTTGTCTACATGCCGCACTCCCAATGAACAACACAAGTCCTTTAGACCGCGCAGACCGTTTGAAGGACTTAACCGGGATCGGATCCATAGGCTACCGCCCGGTACTAGGGAGTTCGCTATACAGCACGAAAAGGAGCTAGCTACTGTTACAGAGAATCTCAGGAAAGCCCAGCATAGAATGATAGAGCAGGCCAACAAACATCGTCGCCCGTCACAATTCCAAGTAGGCGACTTAGTCTGGGTCAAAGCTAAGGAGTTTGCTCCTGAGGAGAACATCTCGCAAAATTTATTGCCCGCGTACAGAGTGTCGTGGCCAGTTCTAAAAGTCAAGGGCGGAGAAGATGGGTCGTCCTACACAATGGAGATCCCACTACACCTCCACACCTACCCAGTTTTCCATGCGTCAAAGTTGTTGCCATGCACAGTAAGTGACCAGTTTCCATCTAGACGATCCATGATCCCTCCAGACATGGATGGGAGGTACGACATTGACGGCATTGTAGGTGAAGATGTGTTTAGAACAGGAGGTAGAGGTCGTCCTCAAAAACAGTATAAAGTCAGATTTGCATATCAAGAACCAGAAGACGACCGATGGTTCACCAGAACTGAACTTCTAGAAACAGCTCCCAGTATAGTCCGAGCCTACGAGAGAGATACAAAAGGTAAAGGTCCTGCCTTGGACTGAAATATTCTCGGAGGACCTCGAATTTAGGCCGGCGGGAGTGAAACGATATTCACCAGTTCGCAGTAGCTGACGCAGATCCCAGGGTTCGATCCCTCGCCATTACCTTACCTGTGTACAGTATCTATGTAGCCCCCGAGAATTGAACCCGTGACCTGTGTGTTCGTAGCAGTTGGTAGGTCGTCGTAGGTTCCGTAGGCCGTCGGGGTTCGATCTGTAGACCTATCCAGTAGGAGTCCAGCCAGGTCTAGAAGTCGTAGCTGTAGGCTTCTCGAAGAGTCAAGGTCGTGGCTAGTCCAGTCCTGAAGAGTCAAGGTCGTAGCTGCGACAGGACCGAAAGGCCAAGTCCACAGCCTTCTAGAAGGGCCCAGTGGTGGCCTTTCGAGGTTGCCCACGTTTAGGCAGAGGCAAGTGGGCAAGTGGTGGAAGTCCACCGCGCAGAGTCAGCAGTCCCAGTCCAGTCAGTCCGGTCCAGTCAAGCAAGTACCGCCTGGGACTATGTGCACCGTGGGCCAGGGAAAAAGGGCAGACCGACGAGTAACAGAAGTATAAATCAAGAGGCCGCGCACAGTCATTCATTCATTCCTGCGGAAGCCATGCGGAAGCGCTGTCTCAGTGGCTTGTGCAAGGAGGTCTGCAGCAGCCCGAAGTCGAAGTGGGCAAGAGAGACGAAGTGCAGCCATAGCGATAGGGTAGAGACAGCCATCGCTGCCATAGCTGTAGTTAGAGTGAAGTGTGTGTGTTGTGTTAGTGTTCAGCGTGTCGCGTGTGGGATATCCAGGGTGATCCAGTGTGTGTGAACAGTGAGATGTTGGGCGCTGAGTCGCCATAGCCAGTGAAAGTGAACTCTTATCTGGATGCCATATCTCTGAGTTCTGTGTGGGCGCATGTTGCCAGTTTGCTGCGATGCTGTTTACATGCATGAAAAGTGTGAATGGGACGAGTCTGATTGCACGGAGGATAGCAGAGCCTGCAATGATGTTTCCCTCCGAAAGGGAGGAGGTACCGGTTGCTGGGAGGCCGCTCGGCCTAGGAAGTCACCGCCCAAGAGGCCAGTAGGCCGCTATATCTTCCGGAGGAGCAAGTAGCTCCTCCTCATTTGCGGTATGCAAGGATTGGCGACATGCTGCTGAGCGGAGCGCTGGGCTGATACAGCGCTACCTGGAGGTGAAGGGCAGCTTGGGCGCTCAGCCTGGCTATGGCGAGCAGCCCAGCCTGAGGAGGAGGAAGAAGGGGGCGAAGCAGGAGAGTGGCGAGGCACCTACCTGGCTATGGTGGACACCATCTCCATCACCTTGTTGGGCGCTGCATCTGGAAGGCCCAGTTGGGGTAGTGCCGCACTAAGGAAGCTCAAGGCAGAGCTTGGCATGGCGGACCAGTCAGCAGCAGCATAGCTGCTTTGGGTTGTCCTTTGGACAGGAGTGCAGCGCCATAGCGGCCTTGGGTTGTCCTTTGGACAGGAGGGCAGGGCCCTCAGTAGTCCGCCATAGCCTATGCATGTGAGAGGAGGCAGAAGGAGGGAATCCATAGCTATGGTGGACTTGTTGTTGTTGTTGTTGTTGTTGAGTCAGCAGCAAGAGGGAACTTCGGATATTGATTCTGGTTCATCCACTCATTGTTATTATTATTATTGGGAGAAGAATAAGATTGGCGAAGTGAAGGAGGAGGAGGAAGGTGGAGAGAGAAGGGGGAATTGTCATTGGTCTTGCTAGTGTACATCTTCTTCTTCTCCTTCTTCTTCTTCTTCTTCTTCTTCTTTCTCTCTTCTCTGGTCTCTATCCCTTTGCAAGTGCTTTCATTTCTTTCGCAATTGGATGGCATTGTCTTTCATTGTGAATTTGCACTTTGGGAATGACCACGATCGTAACAATTGGTATCGGAGCGGACTTACTTGCTGGCGAGAGGTGTTAGTCACCCTAAACCTAATTCCGAATTAGGTTAGGGCTAACCTAATCTCGGATTAGGGTTGGGAAGTTAGGGTTAAGAGGGGCAGTGAGGTATGTGGATACTGCCCCCACCTGGTTAGGTCATGTAGGGTTGACATCAGACCTGACCAGGTTGCTTGAGTGATTGGATGGGGTGGCGAGACACAAAGGAGGCTGATTGGAGTAATCGAGAGGGAGTAGAGAGTGAGACGTACTCGCACCTGGAATCTGCACTTCAAGAAGACATTGAGTGACTTTTGGGCTTCCCCTCAAGAGGGAGACTTGATTGGAGGCTGCCATATTTGCATCGAAGATCTGCAAGTTGCTACTGTGGTCTTCAGACATCGGCGGGGGATCCGGCGTTGTAACAGGTGTGTAGGAAGGCCCTCTTAGTCATGCTAGGACACTTTGTGTAGCGGTAGCTAGGGGTCAGGAGGACAAATGAGAGAGGGGGGTGAGTCGTTATCCGTCTTTGGAGGCCGGGCCTCACAGGTAAGTGTCGTGTGACCTGGTTATGCTCGTGGGAGGTTGCTTGGTGCTTCATGGCCTGTTGGGGTGTGCTGGGCTCTCTTCCTCTTCTCTGCGGTCTTGGTTGTGTGTGTGAGCATGTGGATTGCTTTCTCACCTGATGGATGGATGGATGATGTATCTGTTCTAAATGACATATCTTTCTACGGTGCAATGTCTTTTCATTTCGGAACGGCTGTAGGGGTGAGTTCTTGCTGAAAGTTGTCTTTTCCTTTTGA